TTAATTTTTAGTGTAGCTATTTTTTTATTATATTTTAAAATTATTTAAGATTCAATAAGATATCAAAATATTATATTTAAATTAATTGAAATTAATGCAGAGATATTATGCTAAAATTTTTATCACGCCCCCCCCCCTCTCCAAATAAACAGAAAGATAAAAAGATATCTATAACGATAGTAAAATAATAAGATTAATAAATATTTTAAATTGGGGAAATCCCTTATTTCACTTAGATGTAATTTATTTTTGAATTGCCATTCAACATTGATATTCTAAACGGTAATGTTGTAGACTTTATTCATCTACACTGTTTAAGAATAGTGACTGCCAAAACCACGGTTGTGCATTTGACTGGTCAAATATGGTTAAAATCAAATAAATATTTTATTATAATAAATATCATCATTTTCTTTAATATTTTTTAATCAATTTTCTTTTTGTCTAAATCTTCAATCGAATTCTGTTTTAGTAAGATTATTGACACATATCGACCAATTCTGAAGAAGTAGATTTAGGAATTGTTAGTAATGCCACTTCTCTTAATGGCCATGGTGGTCAAAGCTAATTTCATGAGATTGAAATCTGATTGCTTCTTATGGAAGTTACTGCTTTCCCCATGATTTTCTATTAAACAAGCCGCTTTTATTTCTGAAATTTATGATATACCTTGAAATATTTTGATCACCACCTTGTATGCCTAATCCTTTTATTATATTACATACTTCATTAAATTCACTATGATTAAAATGCTCTCCTTAATATTAGGAACTCAATAATAGCAGCATTGTGATCACATGTATTTATATCGTTTTTTCTTTTTCAAACATATTTTTATATTCAGATCTTATAAAATATTTGACCATTTGACCAGGTCAAATATTCCCCCCTTCAATTGACCCGTCAAAATCTAGTCATTTGAGTGGTCAATTGACTTACTTGCTAACCCTGGCCAAAATTGATTGATAAATTTATAAATATTAAGTCCTCAGACAATAAATAGGAATGCTACCCAGATATCAATTTCGCCAGTAAATATCAAAATTTAACTAATAAACTCAATGATTAATATATTGATAAAACTGAGTTCCTTGTGCACGATTAGGCCTATTCAAAAATAATTCGAATATTCGATTCGATTCGAATCTAATCGAATAATTACGAATACGAATAATAAATTATTTGTTTTATCTGAATACGAATAATCAATAATTCGATTCGAATAAAACGAATTATTCGTAATATTTAATAAATTGTTTAATAAATCTAACATTTGTCATTTCTATTTGTTGACCTGCCAATCGGACAGGTGATGTGTTTGTGTTTATAAAAATTCTAGCACAAATTTAAAAATTTCTGTGAAAATTTAAATTTTTATTTGCCACTTTTTTGAATCTAACGAAAAGTTTATTTTTTGAATCTCATAATAAATTATATTAAAAATTACACAAACCAGAGGTACATAAAAATATATTACATTTCTACAATAATTATTGTTAGCTAGCCTAATTATGTTAGAGGAGATTGCTTCTAATGAAATTATGCTTGATGTTGAAGATGAGAAAATTTCCTCACAAAAGAGAGAAATCATATGGGATCAATATCAAATCCTTAAAGATAGTGAAAAGGCTGCTTGCAATCATTGCAAGTGTATTATAATATCTAAAGGCAAAACAACATCTCCTCTTATTAATCATTATAATAGGTTTTATTCACACCTTAGTAAAAAAATAATAAAATTGACATTTTTTTAAAGTCTACACCAAATTCTTCAAAAAAAAATTAATTTTAAGGATAATTTATTAAAATTATTTATAAATCATAATATTCCTTTTATTTATTTTATTAAAAATATTAATTCGAATTATTCGAAATATTCGAATAATTCGAATCGAATACAAATAGTAGAATTTATTATTCGTACGAATTCAAATAGTAAATTATTCGATTCGTTTAAACGAATTGAATATGAATAATGCACTATTCGATTCGAATTCGTTTTTGAATAGGCCTATGCACGATTATTATAAAATAAGAACTTCGAAAAAAAGGATAGGATAGCGAAAAAAGTGTATTTCAATAACAAATTTCATAAACCAGATTTAAGTTTATTAATCATTATATAAATTTTTTAAGGTTAAAAGAAAATTACAAACTATGTAAATTAAAAAAATATTATTCAAAATTATTAAAAAATGATTCAAAATAAATTAGTCATTATTAGCAATTATCGCGATATTAAATTCTCCTATAATATCTTCGCGATATATGTTTCGCGAAATAATTGTCGCTACATTGTCTTCGCGATTTGGGTTTCGCGATAATAACTTCGCTATAAAATTTTCGCGATTATTGATTGGCTTAAAGTTTCGCGGTAATGTATTCGCTTTAAAAGTTTCGCGATAAAGGTTTCGCTATAAAATTTTCGCGATTATTGATTCGCGATAAAAGTTTCGCGGTAATATATTCGCTTCAAATGTTTCGCGATAAAGGTTTCTCTATAAAATTTTCGCGATTATTGATTCGCGATAAAAGTCGGTAATGTATTCGCATTAAAGATTTCGCTATAAAAAATTCGCGATATTTGTTTCGCGATATTGTATTCGCGGTAATTTATTCGCTATAAAGGTTTCGAAAGGTTTCGCTATAAAAAATTCGCGATATTACATTCGCGGAATAGTATTCGCTATTATGGATTCGCGATAAAAGTTTCGCTATAAAATCCATTCGCGATAAACGACATTCGCGAAAAAGTGCTTCGCGATAAAAGTTTAGCTGAATTGACATGAAACCTTAAAAAATAATAAAAGGATATTTTTTAAAAAAAATTAAAAATTGGAGACATCATATCCATTAATATTCTCAAATTTTCTACTGACTATAAAATAATCATATATTTTTAAAAAAAAAAATTTATTTTGATGCTTGAACCATAATTATCAATTATTGACTTAGCCATATTAGATTCAGTATTCAATCTCATTTAATTATAAATTAAAAACTAATTATTTAATATCAGGAAAAAACTAAATTTGATCTATGATTTCATATGAACATATATAACCAGCCTACAAATTTTTAACGAAATTGAAAGGGGTCAACCGAAAGGTTGATTTGACATTGACCATACATGATAATCTTATGAAATAAAAAAATTAATTGTTATATGGTTTTTAGATTATATTATTTCATGATTCAATACAGTGCTGATGGGAGATGAAAATCAAATGCCTCTTTGATCCTTCATTACAGTGGTGCAGCCAAACTACCAAAACCCAAGACTAGGCAAAAAAAATTTTGGATCATAAACAAAATATTTAAACACAGACAGGGCATAAATTTTGAAAAAGAAAGGAAATTTATGTTGTTTACCTTCATAAAAATTATAATGGGCTGGACAACTTGTATATTTTTACAAGTCAAGCTGGGTAAAAATAATTATAGCTTAGCTCCAAAATATACTTTGTCCAAGTTATTTGCATGGTTCAAAATTATTTTTATGAAGGAAAACGTTATAAATTAATTTAATTATTAGCTTTAAATCATTTTCACAACTTCAACCTTGCCCATCAAAAAATTTTAAAGTTTATCTGGCCCAACCTCAAAAACGTTTTCTCAACCCAACTATGGGTTGCATCAACCTCTAGGCATGTAACCAATAGGTGCAAATTGACTGTTCCCATAATTTTCATATTAAGCTAATAATATTCCCCCTACACATCTTTCCCCATCCTTCCTCCAAATGTATAAAATATATGATTATAAGGAAAATTTGAAAGAAAATTAGTATTAAAAATTTTTTAAATAATGACTATTGTTCAAAATTTTTAGAAAAATAAGTGAAACCCCAAAATTATTTTAATCTAATATAGCCAATGGCCTACTATAGGTGTTCCTAAATGTCTCCAATAAATTATGAGGAAAAATTTACCTAATAGCACCCCCCCCCCTCTTTAACAAATCCGGCATATGTCTATGCCAACCTCTAATGTCTAATGTGATCCATTGAGATCATCAAATATCAATTGCTAAAGATAGTGCAATCTATCAAGTGAGGCGTAGATAGTAGAAGCAGAAATATCATTTTCAAATTTCAAGATTAAAATGCCTAAGAAGTAATGGTGGAAACAAGATTTAGGAAAGTTTAGCTTTGTTGAATACCCAGGTAAGTGTTTAAATGGTAAAAAACTTAGTCATAAGATTGCAAAAAAGTGACTCTAAGGTCCTCCAATTAAATTTATAGGGAGGAATCATCCAAAAACCTCTATTATTGGAGAATTTGTGGCTATTCCTGTTATTGGCTTATAACAAAAATTGAGTTGTCTTATTAAAAGACACCAATATAAAATTAGGAATACAATTAAGGTAAGCTAGATATCTCTAAATCTATTAAATTGAGTTGTCTTATTAAAAGATACCAATATAAAATTAGGAATACAATTAAGATAAGCTAGATATCTCTTAATCTATTTTTTTTACCACCAAATATGATAATACAAACTTTCGTATTAACCATACACTGGTATTAAAATTAAAAATAATATAGATGTTATCATCTGAGGTAGATGCCCATGGTATTAGTCAGTATTAATTATTTGTGAATCTTCAATTTGATACCAGTAGCCAATACTAAATTAATTAACATTATTTTAAAAAAAATTTAAGCCTACAATATAAATTCATTTTTTAAAAAAAATTCTAACTGATAATAAAAAAAAAAATAAATAAAGTGCTGTTATTTCCCTATTTCTCTTTTATATTCATAGATCAATTATAAATTGCAATTTGATTTTTTTTTGGCATTGACCAATTGGTTAAAAAGGTGATATCAGTGCTTTTCTGGTTATAAGCCACTAATGCATATTAAATGGCTTTAAAAAATTGAATGCAAAACAAAAAATAGGGATTCAATTTTTTTTTTAATCATGTCATATCAAGATAAAATATACAAAAATTTTAATATAAATATAACAGTATTAGAATATTTTAAGATTGCTTACTAAATTTCTAAATCTTCTCGATGGACCAAAGGTATTTTAAAAGCATAACGACATTATTGAAATGACCGATAAAATTACAGCTGATAATGTAAACCGCCAGATTTCAATTAAAACTTTAGAATTATAAATTAAAAATGAAGAAATGTGTGGAACTGATAGGAATATTAATTTCCTTAATAATTAAACGCTTAGAAATATATTAATTTAATATTGTAATGTTTCTTAGTAGTCAATATATGAAAAAAATTTTTTTTAATGAATAAGGTTTTATTTTCACTATAAGAACAAAAAACAATAAAAAACGCAAAAAAAAATACGTTTGCTAATTTAAACAATCTAAATTAATCCTGATTTAAGAGCCTTTTTTTTACTCCTTTGCACTACTCCGATGTACGGACGGTGAGGGAAATTAGGAACGTTCTAATTTCAAACGCTGCCAAGCTCAGTCTAGTAGGGGGTACTTTAACCATAATAAATAGGAGGGATGCATCAATAGCAATAGGGATATCTAAAAATAAAAGGTTTCGGCACAAATTAAATTAGTTTAGGATGCAATCCTTTATTAGCTATAGCCAGCAATTATGCTTGTTGAATAATTAAATTTGTTTGACTTTTAAACTTATTTTATATTTTATTTTGGAAGAGCCTTTATGTATGTAGCTATTTAAATATATTTTAATAAATTTTATATATATACCGATGATAATTTGTATAGTTAATAGAGATAATATATTTTAGAAATTATATAAAAAAAATTTATTTTACCTTTCTACCACCATTTGGCTTCCTTTTAGTAACACAAATGAAAATCGACGTATATAAATAAAAATGATTTAATAAATAAAACGGCAAAATCCATCTAAGAATTAATACCTAAATATTACGAGTTTTAAATACAAATTTAATCAGAAGTAAAAAAAACCATCATTAATTACATGGTTGATTTAACGTTAAAAAACACAAAGTAAAATTAATTATTATAAAATGCAATTAAACTCATTAATAAAAAGGTGATTTTCGATGCAAGAATTTTTAAAATAGCACATTATTTTATCACGCTATAAGTAACATGCTACGTCCTTACTTTTAAATTTTATATAATAAATTTATACTATAAAAAATTATAAAATTTATCTATAATTGATAACCATAAAATTTCCCTAAAAATGATATTATGGAGTTACCTTTTCCTAAATTATAACCCGCTTTATTATGGATTTAGTCATATCAAATGGCTAACCTTATAATCTAAATATTAAAAAAAATTCGGCGACATATTTATAAATTAATTTCATTTAAATATTGAACGCAAAAAAAGTTAAATACCTAAATTGCCTTTAAATAAAATCAGCGTTTGTAGCAAACCTATTGTGAAGTTCGACTCTTTCGATATGGTAAATATAATTTTATTGGTTAAATTTATATGTATCTAAAAAAAAAATCCCAATAAGAGAGATGAATTTTTTGAATTATTTAATTTCTTTGTAATAATTGCAGGTAGTTTAAAACCTCAATTTTCATTTAAAAAAAGGGCCACCATGTTTGAAGCAAGAAATAAGTGTTAATAGCATTCATATTAGCATAGAAACTGGATTAAAGTGTACAAATTGTCTTGAATAGGCACATTTGTGCTAGGAAGGAGTCATTTTATGTGTGCCCACTACATATTGTGAAAAAAATATATTTATCATTTGTAAATAATATGTGTTTATTATATTTAATAAAAATTAAAAATTTTGTGTTTTATATGTTGAATTTTATATTTGCAATCTTATTTCAAGGTCAGGATTCTTCAGAATGTATATTAAATCTCGGTAATCGTGAAAATTAGTCATTTAGCTCATATTAAAATATCCATGATAAATTAAATTACTTGCAATATTTTAAATAAGTGTAAGCCCTGGTAAATTATCTTTCAATAATATTGTTAAAAAGCCCGAATCGGATCAATTTTTAAAAATGGCTTGATTAAGATTATAACCATAATTTGGGATAGGTTCTAAATCGCTAAATATTGGGAACATGGCTTGTATCTCCTAGAAATTTTTTAAAGTAAATTTGAAATTAATATTAATAGATACTAGGGGACTAAACACTTGTATTTAAATTGAAAATTAAAAAAAAATCGCTAAAATGGAAGAAATATCATCCAAAATCCCAGTTTTGGGAATCAAATTGGGAATTTAGATGATATTTCTTCCATTCGATTTTTTTTAAATTTTCAATTTAAATACAAGTGTTTAGTCCCCTAGTATCTTAATATTAATTTCAAATTTACTTTAAAAATTTTCTAGGATATATAAGCCATGTTCCCAATTTTTAGCGATTTTTGTTTTAGCGATTTAGAACGGGAACCCATAATTTAATGTAAACATGCAGATTTTGCTCATAGATGGCAGATTTGAACATCTATTTGCCAAATCTCGAGGGTTATATAATATTATTTTAGCTAAAATATTTATGGTGTCGTTTTTAAAAATCGATCCAAATCGGGCTTTTATCAATATTTTCAAATAAATGTTTAAGGAAGCCTTATCTACTTCTAAATATATTTTATATTAAAATTATTGTATATTTTAGCCACTATATCAATAAACACATACATAAAAGTTGTCCAAGGAAATGAATTAAGAAGAATCATATCAGAAAATAAAAAAGTTAAGGCCATGCTAAGATTTTTAATGTCCCTGTGTAAAAATAAATTTGGAAGCCTCTCTAAACAATAGGGATAAAATAGGATTATTTATTTATAATATGACTGAATCATTATTAGGCATAAGGTGATATTTATAACAATTCATTTAGACAAATTTATAAGAAACAAGATTTACCGATCCCTAAAAGCTTATGTTATTAACGCCGCCCTGGCTGCCATTTCTATTCAATCGCTTCTTAGTGCATATTTAATATTTGGCACTATTTAATCATTATTGCACCATTTTATTATCTTAATTCAACGCTGCGATTACTAGCCTAGAAGGTGTCCATATACTCGATGACCTAACATGCAAGATATTTTCCTAGATTCACGCTATAATGGATAAATTTTATCTTATTCATTTTACGATAAATTTCGCATTACATTCTTGAACCCTTAAAATATAAATACAATGTTTCAACTTATAAAACACATGAATAAAATTTATATCCTGTCAGATTCATACACCAAGCCGTATAACTTTAACATCTCATTCCCTGTTATGCTTGAACACTCTCGATAGCTCTGATTCTTCGTCAATTTTTCAAAACTTTGTTTCCATCAGAGTGGAAAATCAAATAGACAAACTTTCTAGGGTCTGATATTTTAAATACAAACAGCTATTCTCCAGTGGCCACCAATTCTTACATCTCAACATATCCCCAAATTTTTTGCAACGGAACAGCCCCTCAATCATCTTTTCAATTTAAAAAAGTGCTTGCATGTTAGTTGCTAAAGCTTATACCAATTGTAAATCCTCCTTACTGAAAAATTTGATTCAATTCCATATCTAAATATAAGACTATTTCTTAATAGGCCAAAAACTTCGCATTACTTCGCTATATTAGGTATGTGTCACCTTTATATTCAGAAGAATAGCCTTTTTTACATTTAATTTAATTAGTCCAAAGAATATCATTCCTTACATTTAAGTATTCTAAAGATCGCTTCCCTAATTATAAAATAAATTTTATCTCAAAAACTTTAAAAAGATAATACCCCGAAAACTGTCAAATCATTGAAATTCGGGTAATACAGATCTAATGGAAAGCCTACTACCCTGATCTCTGGGTTTCTCATTTGTTGAGATTGTGTGCATAAATTTTTCATCATGATCTAATAGAAATTTTCTCCGCTATCAATTAAGCCAAACTCTTAAAAAAGAAATATAAAATGTTTTTTAACAAAAAAAAATTTCATCCACAATTTAAAAATTTTGAAGCAATTTAGATTTTTTTAAAAACAGGTATTGTTTATGTTATAACAAGGAGAGTTTGCAAAAAGAAGGACATTCGTATCATTAAATCTCTCCATTTTTAAATTTGTTTTATTATATATATAACCACATTATAATTTATAACTTAGTCATAATTAATTTTTTAAACAATTCAGAATGCAATTTACGAGCCGGGAACATTATCATTTTTTTTACATTATAACAAATTACAAAATTTAAATTATAAGTTTAATTTTTTAGAATTTAAAATAAAAATTTGAATTTTTTAAAAAAAATTAATTTGATCTGTATGCGGGAGCGCAACTGGAATTTATCCAAGGATAGGGTTATGAAAAATAAATTGGGGCTTCGTCCCCAAACCTCCAAATCCTGCTAGGTCCCTCATATGAAAAATTATGATTAGATACTATTGATTCTCCGTTTTTAATTATATTTTGCTTTTTAAAATAGGTAATATTCTGATATCATCGCCGTTAAGATTGACTGAACAGTTGTAAAATTCACTATTCTCATAACTTCAGCCAAATTTTTTTTTTTTAAATATTGCATATAATTCATTCCAATGAAAAAAATCGGCAGTCATATTAAATCTAATAATGTATCGCTTCAGGTGAAATATCAGTACCTTGATCTTTCGACAAATACTTGATTCTAGACTTCACCCATGTCTTTCCCTTCCCCGAAAATAATTTTATTTTTATAATCCTGTCGATATTGGGTACAAACAAAACAAAAATTCTCAAAAAATCAATTATGTTTTTATACCTTTAGTTTACCTCTTCCATTGGGCCTTATTTCAAGAGTTTTAGGTTCATTAGAAAGAAAATATGAGGACGTTTGTATCAGAGACTAAAAGGATCTTTAAAAAAACCTAGAGTTCAAAAAAATGGCTGAATCTGGCTTAAAAAATATATTTAAAAAACCCCGCTAGACTCAAAATTTGGAATTTATAAATATTCTAAAAAATAAATTTAAAAAAACCTAAACTCCTCCGGGATTAGAAAGCAATTAGTGATTTTATTTAACTTTAAAATATGTATTTATAATATTCCCAACTTAAAAAAAATTTTAGGCCTGCTCAGGCTTGGGCTGTAAAATAAAAAATGGGAGACCGACTCGAACCTAAAATTAAAACACATTAAAAAATTCGGGCTTTTTGTATAAATATTTGTTAGAATCATCATTTATTCATTTATTCCGAACGTGGGTCTATTCCCCTTTCTTTAAAGAACTCAGCTCAGGGGTAAATTATACGAGGCCCTTTCTCGTATAATCGGGCCGGGTTCTTTTTTCCTCAAGGAAGCCGACAAAACTTTTTAAAATATATTTTATCATAAATAAAATAGTATAATCTTGGTTTTTAATTTTAAGTAGGCAATAAAAAATCATAGATATTTTTTTTAAATTGATAACGATCTTATAAATTCGATTTTCTAAAATTTATAATTATAATGCGGAAAAATACAAAGAATTTTTTTTAAATTATGTATTATGTGTGTGTGGTATTTAGACTAGTCAGATTCATTGGTAATTTAAAATACATTTAATAAACCATCTTAATAAAACATAAGGGTTTTTTTTTATTAAACTTTTACATTTTTTTTATTTATAATTTACAACTAAAATGACAAGATTACATAATACTGCACCCTTATAGAGTTGCTATTATCATTTTAATGGGTTATAATTATATTGTTTGGTGGGTCGGTATTTAGGTTGTAAATGTAATAATGTATGTATCATAGGGAGAAGAATATACATGACTAATAAATGATTCATAAGACCATTTGAAATAGAATAATAAAAAGATGGTAATCTATTAGCAACTATTAAAAAAAAAATTCATTGTTTTTTGTAAGGCTAGATATAAATTGAATTTCTCCATTTTTTTTAAAATAAAAAATATTGTATAAAAAAGTTAGAAATCATAAAATATTTTTCTTATAATTTATTTTGTATTTAATATAAATTTTTTATAAATGTTTCTATTCATATTTCTCATTTTGATTTCTAACCAATATCGCTATCCGTTCAGCATCCATGCTAAAGAAGCAGAAGTCTATTACGATGGTATGTTATTATATTAATTTATGATAGTATAGTAGTAAGATATAATGTTTATGCTTAAATAATCTCATTTAATCATTTTTTTCTAAATTAAATTTTTGTTTTGGCAAACTGTTCAGGTTTTTAATTTGCTAAAATGATATTTTTCAAAGATTATCTCACTAAAAGTAATAATATTGGATTAACATTAATTCCAGTGCCGTAATAACTATATTTCACCGTAAAAGGAACCGAGCTATATTGGGATTTTTAGGCTTCCCAAAAAATAATGGAAGGCCGAATAGGCGGGTGGAAAATTGTTACGCTACTGTATTTTTCTTATATTATTTTTATTTTTTTGAAGTAATGTATAAAATAATAGGAAATATCGAAATATTAAAATTTACAAATCTTGCAGAACACTGAAATTTAAGTTTTTCTTAAAAATAATAATTTAAACAAAAAAAAATCAAAATTAACCTCATGGTCAGATAAATATTCTAAATGAAGATAACAAAAAATATTATATATAGCATTTATAATATTATGATGAATAACTTTTTTTGTAATCTATCTAACTATAAAATATAGTGAAACGGCTAGATTAAGATTTTCGCCGAGATAATATTATGTAAGCCTCGAGATTTGGCAAATAGATGTCTATACCTTTCTCCCAGATATGAATCAAATCTCCAGGCTTACATGATATTGTTGAGGCCAAAATCTTAGCGGGCCGTTTAACAACACTAATAAAATGTGATAAATTTTAATAATAAGTTTGAATAATCTATAAAATGTTTAATTAATAATATAAATAAAAAGATTTTGTATCTCTCAATTATAACGTACGACTTCCTATACAAAACCAAAAAAATCAAATTTTTGTTTACATTCCAAAACTGTTTTTAAATATCAAATTAGTTTTATTTTAATATATTTTTTTTAGGAACACCCCGGTTTTTAAAAAATATATTTTTACGCTCATACCTGACCTGATTTTTTTTTGGCTCAAGCCTGTCTATTCTATTAATTTGTTCGTAAGGATCAATCATTAATTTTCCCGATATTACTCACCTCTCAATTCATTAGTTAAAAAAAAATATATAAAAAAAATAATAAAGATTTGAACAAGTTAATAAATGAATTTGTGTTGAATAAAGTTTTAAATGAAATTTATTACGAGACCGACGAAGGAAGTGTAAAAATGTCGCTCATGAAAGATGATTGTCAGCCAATGTTGAAAGAAAGTATTTTGCAATGCATAAATTGTGTGCATAATACTTGCCAAAATAGGTAATATATATTTAATTTGCTTGTTATTATAATATCGTTGGTTTTTAAAGCAAATTTTAAAAAAAACTAGTTTATATTAATTTTTATGTCTAATTTTTTCATGTGAATTAAACGCATGGCCAAATTCTTTGAAATTCAAAGTGTAGGCAAAATAATGTTTAAAATTAATAAACGGATTTAAGTAAATTTGCGAAACGTTTAGAACATTACACTAGGATCTAATAATTTACTATTCGTATTCATATGAATAATAAAATCTACTATCTGTATTCGACTCGACTTGTCGAATATTCAGAATTATTCGATTAATTGGAATGAATTTTCATATTAAAATAAATCAAACTCAAATATATTGACAAATTTTTTTATTGCAAATTTAATTTCAAGCATAAAAAATTATTATAATAATCTGATGATAAAAAATATGTAATCAAGTTATAAACAAAATTAAAATGTATATTATTATTTTAATTTATAACCCTAGGCTAATTTTTAAGACAAAGAGATTTTATTATATTTTCTTCCTTATATGACATATGATTTTTTGACAACAAATTAGTTCCAACTGAGAAAATTATTACACAAACAGTTGATGTTCCTTGTATAGATAGGTAATCCCTTGCAATTTTGAGAGTATGGGGATCCGATATGCGTTTGCCTGCCACCATATTAAAGGGTCAATATTTTGCTCTTGGCTCACTAAGATAAAAATCTATCTCACACAGTTGAATGTAATTTTGTTTAAAAATAGTTTTGTCTGTTTTGTTGGATTTCATCCTTATTTGTATGCAGAGACCTGCAGAGGTACCATTTGCACGGCCCGGCCTGGATTTTTTTTAGGCCCGGCTCGGAATTTTTAAAATTATATTCGACCTGGTATATACAAAAAATTCACCTATTCGGTATTTTATCATATATTTCGGCGAGTATTATCATTTAATAAGCAAGCATATTATTATTTTTAACAGATATTTAGTATATTACAAATTGATACTATAAAAATATTTGTGTAAATAATATTTTAGAATATACTAAAAAAAAAAACATTTTAATTAATTAAAAATATTACATATATATTATAATAATGTATTTATTACCTATTATCCTTAGCGTATTTATTCCATGGCAGGAAAACTATAATTATATTATGTAATAGATATTATGAGTGTTAGTTAGCTAGTGTTAACTTTCATCCAACATTATATTAATCATAACTATATATAATCATTATAACCATATCTAATTGGCGAATATAATAATTCATGTTGTATAAATTTTTTTAAAAAATTTTACGGCCCGGCCCGGGTATTTTCAAAAACAATTTTTCAGGCCGGGCCCAGGTATTTAAAAAATTATTTTCAGGCCAGACCCGGCCCGGGTATATTTTTAAAATTTTAAATACGGCCCGGGCTTGGGGCCAGGCCCGCAGGTCTCTGTTTGTATGACAGTTATAATTATCAGCTTATAGAATAAAATCATTTATTTAAATAGGGGTAAATTAAATATCCTTATCTCTTTAAATTTGTCCGTTAACTTGAATATATCAAAATCAGCTAATATTGATTTTAAATAATCTACATTAAGACTGGAATCTAATATTATGGTTATTATTGCATTATCAGCAGTTAAATTAAATAGTTAAACAATTTATCATGTGTTGCTTTAAAACTATTTTTAAAGGATTTATGGAAATCAGGTTTTCCATTTTTTAGGTGTTCAAGAATTAAAATATAATAAAGTATAACCAAATTATAATTAGGAATTCTCCTCACATACCATATTTGTAGTTTCAAATAAAGGCAATAGGATAGCTTTAATTTTTATAAGATCCTCCCATTCCTACTATATATATATAATAACAAAGTGTATTATATTATTCCCATATTATAAATTTTAGTTTATCTCTTATATTTGTTTTTCTTGAAGAATTTTGATATTAGTTATTACTTCTAATCCATCTTATTTCACAATCTAATTTTGGTTTTAAAAAATTTAGAGGAGGGTATAGTGAGCTACATATATTTTTAAATTAATTTAACTTTTTGGTCATTATAATAATGTCTCAGTTTTAAAATAGAAGGATCTAAATTTTTTGAAATTTCTTTGGAAATTAAATTAATTACATTTAAAAAAAATATTAAAATTTTAAAAAAATATTAAAATTTTAAAAAAATATTAAAATTTTAAAAAATATTAAAATTTTAAAAAAATATTAAAATTTTAAAAAATATATTAAAATTTAATAAAATTATTTAAAAAATAATTTTTTAAAAAAATGTGTAAAAATTAACAACTATTGGTTTTCGATATCAATCTGCATTTAATTAACTCATGTTTTATAAACAGACTACCAATATCCTTACTCTTTTATTAATTGCCTACTACTAGAATGTGTCCTATTTTTATTAATAATATTTTTTTAAAAATGTAAAAATAAAAGTTTTATTATTAATTGCATTATCCAAAGTTATAGTAAAATTTGTATCTTCCAAATTAAATTTTAATTATTTTTAAAAAGGTTTTAAATGTCTTTTCACCTGAATATGCTTCATTTATAGAAGCAACATTCAAAATTTTGTTATTTGCTTTAAAATTATAATAAAATGGTCTGTTGCCGTAAAAAAAGGTGGGTTAGTCTAATTGCCAGATGAAAAATTAATCTTATTTTTATTTTTGGATATTATTTCCTATACTAACTGTTCTTTTTCTGCAAATGTATTATATATACATATACAATTTAATAGTATTGGAGCATATTAATCCTACAGAACAATCAGGATCCCTTCTAAAATTGTAATAACAGTTTGAAAAGATATATTATTATTTATAAATAGCTTTAGCAAGTTATCTTAAAAATTAATTTTTAGACTTTAAAAAAAGTCAATTTTATTACACTTTTTACTGAAGTACGAATGGAATCTATTTATAATGATTAATAAGAGGGGATTTTGGTTTGCCTTTACATTTTTTAATGCTCTTGCAATGATTTCAAGCAGCCTTTTCACCGTCTTTATTGATTTGTTATTGATCCCATATAATCGCTCTTTTTTGAGAGGAAATTTTGTCAACTTCAACATCATGTATAACATTTAATCAGCATTCACCTCTATCATAATTAAGCTAGCTAACAATAATTTATTGTAGAAAAATGTATTATATTTTATATACCTTTGGTTTGTGTAATTTTTAAATATAATTTACTATGAGATTCAAAAAATGTACTTGTGGTGACATTCAAAAAATATGGAGAATAAAAATTTAAATATTGCTTCAATTTTCACTTCAGGGATTTTTAAATTTATGCCAATTATTTATAAATCATATCACATGTGAGATTGGCAGGTTATCAAATATAAATGACATATGTTAGATTTATTAAAAACAATTTATTAAATATTCTGAATAATTTGTTATATTCGAATCGAATAAATGATGATTAGTATTTAGATAAAACAAATAATTTATTATTCGTATTCGTAATTATTCTCTTTTTCTTAAATGTTAAGTTTAAACAATTATAAATATGCGAAAAGAGTTGAAGAGTGTCATATAATTTCGAGCATCAAGGGTAGTTACAAAAATACAGATGTCGCCGCTAACGAGGTTGAAAAAACTAACACCAACCGTCAACTCGATTCAACTAAAAGCCAAATCAAATATCCGCATTCACGTGTACCATCTCATCATTTTAAAGCACCCGAACAAGTTATTAAAAGTACTCGATGTAAGAGAGGACTTTTAGATATCTTTCAAACTGGGTGGGAGGCGGTTAAAAATACCACTTTACGTATATTCATGGGTTCTGAAAAAGTTTCCGAGGGAGTTTCAAAAATTGGAGACGGTATAAAAGAGGACTATTTGACACCCGCCTTTGATGCGATCAAAAAAATGATGGCTCAGTCTAAGGCAGAAGGTGGCAAACTGATGAATAACTCAGTGGAACTTTTAAAGAGCTACGAAATGTGCAGGGGAATTCAGGTTTTATGACAAACATAAAATTAAAATATTAAATCCATTTTAGGAATGATAAAGTAAGCTTGGGGGTAGAATTGGGAATATTGCTAAAAAAGATAAGGGTTACCGTTAGATATATTCAGAAACAATGTGTCCTAGCTTATCTTTGACTTGAGAGAAAAATGATAACAGTTACAGAGAACGCTACTTATTAAAATATAACGGTTGAAAGTTCTTCGTTACATAATTATAATTAAAAAGAAGTTGAAAACTGAAATGTGCATTAAATATGATGAAGCCTATTGGGGAAAAATATATAATTAATCCACTTGTATGATTAAATTATGCCATCCCTTTTATCATATATTTTGGGGAAAATAAAGTAGGTAAATGATAAGGTGGGGGGGGGGGGGGTAAATATTTTAAGGGAGATGACTGATATTAAGATCTATATTAAATAATAATATAATCATTTCAAACAAAAAAATATTTTTTTAAAAATTGATTTGAAAATAAGGATTGCTACGAAAAATTACTATTACTTCTCAAGGAATCGGAAGAAAGGGTAAGTGATTTTATCATAAGTAAATCTCTTTTGAAAAATAATGGAGGTAGTCCAAAAGTTGCTGAGATGTCTATTTCAACAATAGGAGAAACGCTAGAACTTGCTACTAGGTTTTTAGATACCTGGACCAATTGTGAGGGCTTAGAAAATTGTCAGAAAAGTTTACAAAGTATATTTGTACCCGTAAATTCGAATGAACGCCCGGCGACTGATCCCAATGGTTAAAATAAAAAAATTATTTTATTCGAATATTTTTCTCTACTTAGATCATGTAAACATTTAAATAATTACTAAGTAGAAAAGACTGGGTCAAAAAGGTATTTTGAATTTTTACTATAAAATTTTTTTTAAAAAAAGTAACAAATTACTAATATAACTTACACATAAAGAACTTTTAATGTTTATTTTTGCTCAGTAGTTCTACAGGTACACGTTAATATTTTAGAATACTTTTTTTAAAGATTCATTTTATCCATAACCGCTTTACCCCAGGGGGATATTTATCATATAAATTGTTCGTGACTTCTCTTACAGCTAAAATTTTAAATCCTTACGATAAATATATTTTTCTAAAAGCAAACCTTACTAGAAGGTGATTTTCTTAGATATCTTATGTAAATAGGTAACTATTAATCGGAAAGATATATTAAAACCAAACCATTAGGTAAAAAATGAACATTTGTAAGAAACTACATATATGCATCTTCACATCATATTTAAGGTCTTTATGATCGGCGGTTAAAAAAAACTATTTACATTATTATTATTATTCCATCAACCTCTTTCCCCTAATCTCCCCTAAATATATCAGTGGTGTGAAAGTGCTAATATTTTTTTTTAGAAAACTCTTTTGAAATATACACTACCTTAAATAGGATATACTACAATTTCATAAATATTTCGTATATAATTTATTAAACAAGATTTTTTGCAAGATGTCAAGAAGTCTGTTATCGAAATAACTGCCATAGCTTTTGAAACAGAGTTAGGAAAAAATATAAAGAACGTTTTAAAAGAGTGGTACAACAATACGCGCAGTTTCATCCGTAAAATATTTGATTTTATAAAAAGTATTACATTTTTTAGGGCAGCCTTTTTAAAATATTATGAACAAACTTAATAAAAATAAATTATAATTTAATGGATTAAAAAGTTTAAACTGGATAAATCCTTTAAAAGGTATTTTCATCAAAACATTTATTTACCTAGTAGAAGTCGGATCGGATCAGACAAAAAAATAATCTAACCTAACCGAGATTTTAGATCTTTGAGCATTTTTTTTTGAATGCAAACAGGAATATTGAACAAATTTTGCTTAAAATTCCAAAATAATAAATAAAAATATTTTTTAAGCAAATCTTTTGTGATTTTTAATCAAATCTTTCATAATGAAATCATGAATTTTAAAAAAAGAATTTTCCCTTTCAAATTATTTTTTGTCCAAATTTTGAGCGAAAATTTTTTTTTTCAAATTCTGTAAAATTTATTACCAACCGAGCCGAAAAAGGCTATCAAAACCTGGTTGGGTCTTGACGGCCCCTAATATCTATATTACGTTTTGAATTATAAATAATAAGATTTTAAAAAATAAACAATGCTTAAAAGCGGGAAAACTTTATATTTTTTTCTTCTAAAACCTATTAAATATTAAAAAAGCCCTCTTCAACCCGGTAAATGAAGTACCGCAAACAAAAGATTTAAACACAATTTTTAAAGGTGTAGATGAAGTTTGGTCCGATAATTTCGTTGACGCCCCGAAATCTCTTGATAATGAAGGCTACCGCCACTCTGAAACCTTAAATACCGCCGAAGATTCTTACGAAAAAGTCAAGAAGAATAACCCTTCAGATTATAATTCCAACTTTCAGGACTTACATTCACCATACAATATAAAAAGATTCCGTAGATCAACTTCAAAGAGAAATTCATCATCTGTAAACTCCGATAAATTTGATCTCGCGGGTAAATTTAAAATAAAATAAAAATTATTTAATAATATCTTGGAAACTGGCTAAGTGGGTAGCTATTTGAACCCATCTATATTTTACTATAACTATTTTTTCTCCAATCTCCTGCAGGGCCAATAATTTTCTAGAAATCAATCTCTTATAAGAGATTAGAGTAAAAAGCAAAGAGATCTGTATAGTAAAAATCGAAATAAAATTGATATGTTATAAAAAAAATTTTAAGAAATATTACATAAATAAATGGCTTAGTAAGTATCTACTCACCAATATCATTATAGGTATAAAAGAAAAGTATATATTAGTCAAAGTTAGCGTAGGTGAGACCTTGACTCCTGAGCCTGACTACCGATAACATTCGACCATTTAAAAATCATTAAAAAAATGGATAAATAGTTTTCTATTGAACCACACTATCTGGTGTAACCAATATTTATTCTGAACCCAATCACTTCCACGAGGTTAGGATTAAATGACCATAGGTTTGTATATTACATAAAGTTTTTCTGTCGATAATAATTCTATAGTTAACCCACCAATCCATAATTTTAAATATTTTTTTTGCAGAAAATCGATTAAAAGTTTGTTTAAACGTGGACAAGGAGGATTACTCAAAGAAATGCAATTACATTTTAGGGGAATGTAAAACGTGCGAAATTTTGAACAAGAGTAATAATAAATGTATATGTAATTCTAACTTTTAATTTTAGATTGTTACGAAAAATCTTTAATGTTGGACCAATTACTATACAAAAATGGTTTGCTAAACAGAATGGGATGGCCGGTGTTCGCTGTGAAAAACGTAGGGATTACCGATTTTAAAGAACTTATTTTCTAAAATATTCAAATAAAAAATATATATTAGATCACAATCATTGATCAAACAAGACCGCAAAATTATGAAAATGAAAGACTTTTCAATTCTCCGCGGCTATATATGAAATTTCAAATTATGGGCTATAATGACCAAATTCAAAGCTCCCTAGATGTCCAGAGATTTGACAATATAATGGATCTAGCGCACGAACTTGCGTCACAAATATGGCAGAATTTTCAGGATAAATATGGTTCTCTAGCTCTATAAATCAATAGATTATTTTCCTCCTGAATCAATATTTGTCAAAATTAATTTATTTTTATTATATATTTTTTTAAATTTTCTTACATTATAATAAAAACATAGCAATTACCCTGTGTCAGATTATAAAATATCCAAATTTCATAGCATTTTTAATATTTAAAAACATATATAATATATTCACATATCCCGGCGCATAACCAAGGGGCGCGGGGTAATCCCCCTCTCCCCAAATAATATATATAATATATCCTATAAGGAAGAATTTTGAAAGAAAAATTATTAAAAGTTAATAACTTTATAAAATAGAGATTATAATTCAAATTTTTTTAGTAAAAAGCACTTTTATATATTAAAAAATGAAAACCCAAAATTATTTTCATATAGCCCAAGGCATATGTAAAGATATCCAATAAAATTTATGGGGAAACTATTTAATGATGCCCCCCCCCCTCAACAAAATTCTGAATGCACATATCTAACGCTTATTTATTGAATTTTTAGATCGGGTAATAAATCATTCTTAAAAAATGAATCGAGTAAATATTTGAATTATAAATTGTGCAATTTTTTTTTAAACTATTTATGTTGCAACCTTTAAAGCCACTAACTCCAGTGAAAGAAAATGTGTATGTATAACCCTGCATTCACAATTATCAAGAATTCGCGGCGAAGTATATATAATTACAAAAAAAATACAGCATTTTTGTAAAATTCCCCGCGAATTCGCGCTGAATAAGAATGAATGGTAAAGAGTTTTTTATAGACTGTGCCCTATAGGCTGCATTTCTTTTTTTTAGCTTAGTTTTGGTTTGGACTATATTTAAATGATGATAAGAAAAAAAAGACGGGAAACTGATTTTAAAATTTATTGAAAGTTTTGCTTTAATAATACAAATTCATAGCATTTAAAACAAGGGCAATATCCTTCGCAGAATGTGACCTTCGTTTTTATCATTTTGTTATTCTAATGAATTAATTCATTGAATTTTAAAAATATCATTGTTTTGGAAAAAAAAAATTTATTAAATGTGTTGCGAAAGGAAAAAAAAAATTACCTATAAATTTATTATCACTCATTTACTTCTAATTAAAATAAAACAATCCTATAAATTGTATCCACTTCATCATAATTTTCATATAATCTATATTTTTGCCAAAATATTGTATAAAGATTTCACAATTAAATGTAATTAATTGTTTGGATAATGAGGGATCCGAAAATTACAATAATACTTATATATAAGAGACCTACATGCCATCTCCCAAAACGGGTCATAAAATAATACGACTTTAACCACTCTGGCTGGTCCGGCTTAAAACTCTAAAAAAGATTAAATGTCCTGGGTAAAAAAGTCGGGGATTTTAAAAATAATAAAAACCATTTGAAAATAGAAAAATATAATTTTACTAATATTTATATATTACTCATTCCAAGTTTTGAAAACAATTTTTCAAAATGAATAAATATAAATTCTGTGGGGTATAGTAACATTAATCATAAATATCTATAAATACAGTGTGTGTATGATTTGTTATAAAGTATTACAAGATATGGACAAAAATATAGTCTATAATGTTGTAAACGAACGCGCTTAAAATTAACGCGTAGCGCGTTAGTGTTGGATTTTTGACGAACTTTGAATGTGAACACATTCGTTCAATGAAAACTTTTTATTTTTATTCATTTGAAGATAAAAAATATTAATTTAATATTAATCGGAATTTTTTAATCAGATTTTTTGTCACATTTGAATTTTTTAACCAGCTACTATTTCTGTCCTATAGTATAGTTTATTAATTTGAATATTTATAGATTAGCATAAGCATGGATGTTTTTATTTTATCATTTGATTCCGAATCAGAAACAGATGAATTAACTTTATCATGACCCTATATTAAATAACTTTACAGTAACATCACATATTCAATAAACTAATTTTATTATCCTTACCAAATGTAAAATGTGTCCAAAAAGTATAATATCTTCAAGTTTTAATTTATAGGCATATATTTTTTATAATATAACTATAAGTATCTTGTTAATAAATTATTCTAGATTGTTATATTTCATAGGCTTATTAAATTATAATAGATACATGAATTAAAAATCATATATTACATATATAGATATAAAATAGTTAATATCTTTTAGAATTTATTTATTTTTAGTGTGGTAATTTAAAATTTCGCTATTATTTTTAAGTTATTCAGTGTTTTATATTATAATAGTCAAAATGTCAATGATAATAAAATTGGAGTAAAATTAAAAGAAAATTTATCTTTAGGATATATAAAAAATTTTAAAACAAAAAATAAATCAAGTTTAAGCGCTATAACAAAAAATAACAAAAAAAATTAATCGAAATTGATTTAAACAAAAGAAAATATCGTTATATTAAAGTTTGACTAGCCATATCCAGATATAGATTTTATTTACTAACATGAATATTTTATGGTTAATGTTAACATTGCATATTTTGATATAACAACTAATCAATTGAAGAGTTTATTTGTCAGCCTCATCATTGCACTTATTGAAAGATGTTGCATTATTCTAATTACAATATAAATTTTATTTTTTGTTATAATCTAATTTTATTTTATAAACGGCGTAACCTTACTTTTTTTATATTATTTTATTTTTTTGTATTTCGTTTTATATTCTAATTTATATTTTAGAAAATGTATATATACCTTTAGAAAAGAAAAAGAAATTAGTTAATAAAATATATTTTTACTGACTCGCACCTCGCACCATATCGTCACCATCCTTATTCTTTTCATGGTGCCCCTTGGGTGGTGGACTAGAAAAAGATGACTACCTATTGTGTATCTAACCTATAGAGACTGCTTAACCTATGGAGATGACTACCTATTGAGATGACTATCTTATCTATTGTGACTGCCTAAGCTATTAATATCCTATGCCTAATATACTGAGATGACCAAGAATCAAACCTTAGTACGTTCTTTCATGCAAAAAGCTTCTTTCTTTATGGTGTCCCGGCTCTGGATGTTGGACTGGAATATAATAGCCAGCACCTAACCTAATGTGGCAACCTAGAAAGAACCATAATGAAAGTTGGACGTTAGGTTATGAATTCTATATTGTGAGACCAATGATGATTACCTTAATATTCTAATTCACGTAAGAAGAAAAGTTATTATATTAAGATTTTATGCCAGGATAAAGGCATGTTATAAATTTTTAAAATCACTAAAATGTAAAATCATAATGGATATATTTGAACACACAAAAAGCCTTTAAAAAATTATTTATAATTTCTTAGTGAAATATTGATACTAAAATGTAAAATCATAATGGATATAGACCACACAAAAAGCCTTTAAAAAATTATTTACTTAAATTCTTATTGATATTTTTTGATTTCTTGAATGATGACCAATTGTTGTAAATTAACAACTAAACCTAAAGATGAATTCTTAGATATAATTAAATATAAACCATTAAAAATCCTAAACAAGAAGATAAAACTTTAATTTTAAATATATTAAAATGTAATTAAAACGTATGAATTAAAAGGGATTGATTTAAATACCATAAGTAATGCTTAATATGATAAAAATGTTTTTGAAATAAAGCTTTTGAAGACAAAAGGTTATGTAAAAATTAAACATCATTATTTTAGAAAAATATTGTGTGAAATTTAAATTTTTAAGAGAGGGAAATGTGCATATATTTATATTTTAACCTCGGAGATTGAAAATAAATAAAAATAAATTAAATAATATTAAAACGCTACTAATTAAATATTAAAACTCTACTAATAAAAAAATGTAAAACGCATAAAACGCTAAAAGTATAAAACGCTATGATTAACTTAACACCTAAAAAATAATATAATAATTTATCATTCCTTATTCTGGATTAAAATTTTATTCCTTATTCCATAAATTATCATTCCTTATTACATATTTTATTGTTCCAAAATTCAAAATTTTATTCGTGCATATTATTCATACATTTGATTTGATCAACTATTCCAAATTATATATTCCGATTTATTCCAAATTCCAATATTCGACTGGATTAATTATAAAAAATGATAATAACAATTGAGCACTATCAAACAAGCTATTATTAATGGAGATAATTTACGATATGGATATCAAGCTTGTGATTAAACAAACCAACGTGCAAAATCGAATTGATCAAACCAACGATTGGGACAAGCCAAAATGATAAACCACTTGGACAACAAACTCTTATGACTTCTCCGATGAAATTATCTGAAGAGGGAGAATGTTGCATTATTCTAATTACAATATAAATTTTATTTTTTGTTATAATCTAATTTTATTTTATAAACGGCGTAACCTTACTTTTTTTATATTATTTTATTTTTTTTTTGAATTTCGTTTTATATTCTAATTTATATTTTAGAAAATGTATATATACCTTTAGAAAAGAAAAAGAAATTAGTTAATAAAATATATTTTTACTGACTCGCACCTCGCGCTATATCGTTAAGAACTTTATTCTTTTCAAAAGACCTTTAATTTTTTAACACAAATTAAAAAAAAATTCTACTTAAAATCTGTTTACCTAGTGAAAAATATTATGACAACTTTTTATATATTGTTAAAATATTACCCACCATAAATTTATACCTTAAAATAAATTATCAAATTATATTTTTTTCACATTTCCTTTATACCATAAATATGTCATTTTTAAAAAAATATTCATTATTTTTAAAACAAAATTTAATATTAAGTATTACAAAAAAAAAATATATAATTTGTCATTTCTATAACATATGTTTCACAAAATACCCAATTTAATAATATATTCTAATTTATAATTCATAAAGAAATTATAGTTATAATGTTTTTGTCCAAATAATTACGACTAAGTAACTCAATAACATTTTTATTACGAACATGTCATTGGTTTAACAAAAGTCTTTAAATAAGCATTTTAAAGATTATTATCACATTTTGAGCAAAACCTTTGAATTGAAAATAAACAAAATTGAACCTTTTATTATTAAATATTTATTTATGTATAAGGAATTGTCCTTGATATTATATAACATTGCGTAAATTGATTAAAAAATTTTATTGACCTTATTTTCAGCGCTGTACCAAGATTTTTGGCAATCCAGGGCAAAAAATAACTTGTTGGTTTTTTGATAATTTTTCGCAATGAGAAGTAAAAGTATATATATTCAATTAAATTATAATTATAAATACATTATAAAAGTATAATCATAAACTAAAATATTGCAAATTCATTTATCCTCTTCGCCTTTTTATATGTAAAAGAGGATCTTAAATCAATATAATCCAACGATTAGTGAATATCACTTACTATTGAAATAAAACAGAGATTAACAAATCGGTCCTGTACTATTCAGAA